TTTTAATGCACCCAGCTGTCATATGTTTACAGTATTGCAGCATTCTGATAAATATGAATATGAAAATAGTTCAATATAACAGCAGTTTACAACAAAATAGTTTCAGTCAGTAAATATATTTTGTACATGCTCCTTCTTTTTAAACTACTAGGTACACAAACAAATGGCAATTTTTTACAATTTAATTTACATTTAAAAATTTTAACAAAGTTTTAGCTAGAACTAACAAATTCAAAAACTGGTGTAATATTTGTAAATTATTAGCCAACATGTTTGCTGTACTGTATGACAGTATACTTAAATCCTTTCTGCATGACACGTTATTACTTCATTATTTGATTACATGACTATCAACATTATTGTGGATACTATTAGTATAATTCTCCCTAAATGTCCTTTACTTTGTGTGTTCAGTGTTTATTGTTCATGTGTATAGTGTGTATTTGTGCACTGTATATGAATATCTTACTAGAAAATGTACCTCTATTAACTGTACATTATCTTCCAGGCAAACTTCAGTCCAAGAAAAAATGCTCGCAAAGCAAAAGAGTTAGTCTTTGAAAGAAAATTCATTGCAATAAAGGATCTGAAAATGAAAAATGACATAACAGGAGAATCAATGTTCCGTTATCTTTCAAAAGACATCCATGAGTATCCTTCTCCTGTTGAGTTTCACATCACAGAAGTGGCTCATGTCACTAACAAGACTAGACATCCATTGATCTGGAAATCAGGGGGATTCAAGGGATTCAAGGGATTTGGTAAAGATTCGTTATCATGGTGGAGTCTGAAGATTAATGAAGCGGATATAAGTGCAGCAGAGGAGCGTTACCTCGAGAAATTGTTCCCAGACATAACCAAAGAAGAAAAAACAGTTCAACCGCCATTTCTGAGTGATTTCACCACATCACCCTTGTTCCTCAATGAATTCTCACGCTACGGCAACTTCCGCTTCACATTTCCTCTGACTGAACTGATGGAAGTCTACAAGAAGCAGACATGTGAAGGTCAAGAGCCAGTTCTCCGGATATATGAGACCAAACTTTTCAAGCAGGAGATTGAGTATGTTGTTCTTGTTCACAGCCCTGAGTTCAATGAGAAGTTCAGAGATTTTCCTCTGCTAACATCCAGCCCATTAGTTGCTTATGATGGACATCAAATTATCTGGACAGCCCAAGCCATTTGTGAAACTCACAAATGCAAACTAGTAAAAATGGAAAACGGTGTTCTGACAGAAACACTTGAAAAAAAGTACCAAGAGTTTTATGTGTGGGATCATGTTAGCCTTGTCTTTCACATCACTAAGGTCCTGACCTTCCCTAAAAGAAAGCTGAAGGCAAGCCTCAGTTGTTGTAAATTGGATCCAAATGTAAACCTTGCAAATGGAGAAAACTGCTCTTCCCTTGATGAAGCTGAGAAAATCATTGAAAGTTTGCTAGTTGATGAATCTGAAAAAGAAGATGAAGAATAAGAAAATGAATCTGTGGAGGTGAAAATGGAAGTGGACTAAATGTGTTCAAATTCTGTAAGAACTTTTACACCTGTGTTTTTGCAGGGTTTTGCCCTTCCTGATAAATAGCTTGAGGTGAGATAAATAAGGTAAATAAATAAAAGGTAGAGGTTGATTTGTATCTTACTTATATTTGTTACTTGTCATTTAGAGGCTATAATAAGATAAAAAAAATAAAATGTAAATATTTGAAACTCTGTGGATCAATAAAAACACACCTGGATAACCTTTTTTTTTTCTTCTTTAACCTAAAATGCTCTTTGTCATTCACCGACCTGGTCATTATTGTTTTACACTCTCACAAAGATTAAAATAAAGTTTTTAATTTGTATTGTTGTGCTGGCAACTACCCAGAAGGCCTTGCAACTTTTGTCTGTATATAGAGTGGGGGAACTATGACGTCACTTTGTAGGCAAAAACCCAGAAGCGAGTTAGTATTTTAGCACTTCTGGTTCCTTCGTCCCATAGTCAGTGTTTTTTTTTTATGGGAGTTTGGTTAAATCCCCTAAAATAAGGTCTGTGGTTCACACAAGCTCAAGATCCTTTCACATTTTATTCTGCGACATAAAACACACCAGTTACACCCCACTCGTGATTTTTTAAAAAATGGTTATGTTTCTTAAAAAAGATGGTTGCTAACAAGTTGCTAAATGAAACAACAGGAGCTTTCGGAGACATTAAACGTCATCACACCCAACAGTTTATCAATTTAGAGTATTTTCCAATTGTAGAGTAATTTATAGTACAATTAATTGCTTATGATGGACATCAAATTATCTGGACAGCCCAAGCCATTTGTGAAACTCACAAATGCAAACTAGTAAAAATGGAAAACGGTGTTCTGACAGAAACACTTGAAAAAAAGTACCAAGAGTTTTATGTGTGGGATCATGTTAGCCTTGTCTTTCACATCACTAAGGTCCTGACCTTCCCTAAAAGAAAGCTGAAGGCAAGCCTCAGTTGTTGTAAATTGGATCCAAATGTAAACCTTGCAAATGGAGAAAACTGCTCTTCCCTTGATGAAGCTGAGAAAATCATTGAAAGTTTGCTAGTTGATGAATCTGAAAAAGAAGATGAAGAATAAGAAAATGAATCTGTGGAGGTGAAAATGGAAGTGGACTAAATGTGTTCAAATTCTGTAAGAACTTTTACACCTGTGTTTTTGCAGGGTTTTGCCCTTCCTGATAAATAGCTTGAGGTGAGATAAATAAGGTAAATAAATAAAAGGTAGAGGTTGATTTGTATCTTACTTATATTTGTTACTTGTCATTTAGAGGCTATAATAAGATAAAAAAAATAAAATGTAAATATTTGAAACTCTGTGGATCAATAAAAACACACCTGGATAACCTTTTTTTTTTCTTCTTTAACCTAAAATGCTCTTTGTCATTCACCGACCTGGTCATTATTGTTTTACACTCTCACAAAGATTAAAATAAAGTTTTTAATTTGTATTGTTGTGCTGGCAACTACCCAGAAGGCCTTGCAACTTTTGTCTGTATATAGAGTGGGGGAACTATGACGTCACTTTGTAGGCAAAAACCCAGAAGCGAGTTAGTATTTTAGCACTTCTGGTTCCTTCGTCCCATAGTCAGTGTTTTTTTTTTATGGGAGTTTGGTTAAATCCCCTAAAATAAGGTCTGTGGTTCACACAAGCTCAAGATCCTTTCACATTTTATTCTGCGACATAAAACACACCAGTTACACCCCACTCGTGATTTTTTAAAAAATGGTTATGTTTCTTAAAAAAGATGGTTGCTAACAAGTTGCTAAATGAAACAACAGGAGCTTTCGGAGACATTAAACGTCATCACACCCAACAGTTTATCAATTTAGAGTATTTTCCAATTGTAGAGTAATTTATAGTACAATTAATTGCAGAATAACCAATTAATAGTTTACCGCATTTTATATTGTTATTCGACAATGTTTTTTTGCTTTGCTTCGAAATGCAAGTCTTCGGATGGAAGATGCTCATTTTATCACTTACCTGCTGATGCAGAGACTCTGGGTTCGTACCATAAGGTAAACTCATATGATTATGCCATGTAAACACCACATTTACCGGCTTTTTTACCACATTTATTGACTTTTAATGCACAGAAGTACAAATCGCATTTCCTAATAACGTGCTTGTTAGCAAGTTCCGTGGCTAAAGTAAACATTATAATGAGAACGGCTCCCCCAACATTATGAAGCTGCAGGCCCGGAGGCCCAACTGCACACTCAGACCTGCACGCTCAGACCTATCGTTTTTTTCAGACAGTGCCACCTGCTGTTTGGATGAACATTTGTTTTGTAGCGTGTGTATCGTAATCATTTCCAACATTATAAAACTGCTAGCAAGTAGCAACATCTGACACGTGAGTATGGTTATTAATTTTATTAAAGCGATTCCTGAAAATTACCAGGTTTTATGGCATAAATCAATGTGACATCTTATTACACCAACAAACGAATAGCCTATTGTAGTATTTAATGATTGTTTAGACAGATAGTTCGACAAAATAAGCCGTGCATTTTGTTCTCCCCAGTTATTTTCAAACACGTGGTGCGTAACCTATTATTGCTAGCTTAGTCAGTGTTTGATTTGATCAAAATTAGTGTCGAAAGATAGCATTATTTTATAATATTTACAGCTTGCTCTTATTTTCTGTGTTATTGTACCATTCTGGGATACTTAATATGTTTTCTAACAAAATAAAAAACGTTAAAGTAAAAATGTTAAAATAAAATGTATAATATATAATACAATTATTATTTGTAACATATTTTAGCACTATGTAGGTCTACTGTACGTATTACTGTATTAACTACTATTATTTCATACTAATATTACTACTACATTTACTATTAGTAGTAGTAGTATGTGTAACAAAAATAATATTGCACGTTCTTTTTATTGTACTTTACAAATCTCAAAAGTGCTACCACAGACAATAACAGTAACACAATAACAGTGTAACAATTAGAAATAAGTTCTGTAATAATTACAAATAAGATCTTTGGAATAAAATGCGGCCTTGAGTTTATTTTCATCAAAATATCAAGTAATCGGCGTAGAATTGACAATATGAGCTCTGTTGGGTTGTCTAAATAATTTGCGTGTGACTTGTGTATTTTTTCCCAGATGGATATTACAATTCAAAAAGGAATCTCAAAGTGCTACCACAGACAATAACAGTAGCACAATAACAGTGTAACAATTAGAAATAAGTTCTGTAATAATTACAAATAAGATCTTTGGAATAAAATGCGGCCTTGAGTTTATTTTCATCAAAATATCAAGTAATCTCCGTAGAATTGACAGTATGAGCTCTGTTGGGTTGTCCACATAATATGCGTGTGACTTGTCTGCCTGAACTAATACAGTGCACCAAATGCTGCAGTCATTTCCACTGTCCATTTTGTGATGCCTCAGTTTTCCAACCAACACTGTTGGCAAAAGTGCAAACGCATCTGCAGTCACATTTTAATAGATCGGTCCAGCATGAAGGTAATATTTGCAAGTGTACATCTTATAATAGTGAAAAATTGTAAGACAAACTTAAAGTGCAATCTTATACTGCTGTTTTTCAGAATTTACAATACACAGATGTGGACACCTCTGCAGAAGTCTTCCTTCTATGGCCCAAAGGATATACTCAGTGGAAAAAGGTCAAAGTGGTTTCCACTAAAACCCCGTTTTCAAGTGCCTGTCTACATTGAGAATGAGCAGTCCCTGACAATCCTTTATAACTACATGAAAGGAGTTCTTAATAAAACCCAAACGCAGCTGACCTACAATGATGAGGTGGAGTTCATTTGTGGATGTCTCCTCCCAGAGGTAAGCCCAAAACATGTTTGAACATGAGCATGTTCATGTTCTGCAGTGTGTGCATGTTTTATTTTATTAATTGATTTATTTGTACAGGCCATCATTCAAGGCCTTTGCGAGCTGCAGGGCTTGTCTTGGCGGGAGGCTGAAGAGATGTTCCTCAAGGGCCCCACTTATCACTCAAGGTATGTTTTCAATTTTTGTTTGTACAAAAACTGTTGGATTTTTATGTTACACAACATTTCTGACAACAGCATTTATCTTTTCTTTTAGTGAAGTTGAGGAATTTGACAGAAGAATTGCTCAAGAAATGAAAAATCTCCCCAACAAGAATGTAAAGCATTTATTTTATTTGATGTTATTTTAATATGTAATATATACATTATTAACCCAATTATTTTTTTCACCATTTTTCTCTGCATTGTTTACAGCTCGATGACTTGTAGGACCTCATGAAAAAGAATACAAAAATAAAGTTTGGTGTGAGAAAATGACTATGAGCACTATCATTTATTGTATGTAAATATAGAGTTAATGTTCATCCCCTAACTCAATACTAAAGAATGTGATAAATCCTTAATAATTAAGAAAACAATAAAATCAATGACTAAAAATCAATGACTAATGCAAGTATAGGTCTTTGCGGACGAAAAAGAGGGTGTTTCTCAAACTTTTCATGTCATTTTCATTTAATTTTAAAAATGCCTGAATAATGGCTGATAGTCATTGTTTTTTCTGACTTAGTATTTTGTTTTCGGATTTGTCATTGTGTTTTCTTATTATACTGTTTTGGAATTGTTGTTGTGTTTTCTGAATTATTTATTTTTTTAGATTTGCATTTGCGTTTGTAATTTGTTATTTTGTTTTCAGAATTGTGATTTTCTGTGTTTTGCACTTCTCTGCCACCGTAGGATATCCCGTTCAGCTCGATTGTAAAACAGAAACACAAAACACACTGGTCTCTGACCACAGCAGTGTTGAACCTGTGATGACGCTCTGCGCCACTACGTTTGTTTTTCATAAACAAGACACACCTTAACCAGGTAGAAACGACAGTAAGAGGAAAATAAGAGACGCTATCAACATCTTATCTCTGGCTGTTTAATTGGCCACATATTTTGTGGTAAGTTCATAATTTATTCTTAGTACGACCATTTAGTAATATTAAAATGAGCTGCAGTTTAGATTTATGTTCTACGATTTAAAACAAATAAATTAATTCAATTCAAGTTTATTTGTATAGCACTTTTCGCGATACAAATCGTTGCAAAGCAGCTTTAAATAAAATTTGAGTTTCTACATTACATTCAGGAGTGGCAATTCTCAGTGGTGACTATGGCAGAAATGTACAGTAAAATCATTATATTTTAACAGTGCAAACTAGTCAGAATGGTGGAAACGTGGGTGATTAAATAAAATACTTTTGATATCCTGTGACCTTTGCTTTAGACTATATAGTTATAATTTTGAATAATCGTTTGTTTTAAAAAAGTATTTTTATACAGAATATTTCTAAATCATGTGACGTAAACAAAATAGGCTAGTTTCAAGGTAACAGGACACATTTTGATGCATAGATGCATCGTTTTAGGAATGGTGATCCCATTAGAAGCATATGAATCAGTGACTGTTAATTCTGTTGATCAAACACGTTACAGAAATTACTGGCTTTTATCTCTATTACAAGTACAGTAAATTCGACAGAGCACAAAATCTGTGCTGAATATACTAAATTACCACCTCTCTATTAAACAACTAAAAATCTGATAAAATATGTTTTTAATATGCTTGTAAATGATCACACATTTACTTGTATTTCAAACAAATCAGTTCCTGCATCACACACTGCTGTACATTAAAAGTTAAATAAACATGTGCTTTCATTTATCTATGACATTATTATCTGAAGAATAATTCATGATGTGCTGTATTTTGTATTACACTGTCATTATCACTGTCACTATCATTGTATTACAGAATAAAAAATAAATAAATAACTGTTATATATAAACATAAATAATTATGTTTTGATATAAAAGGTCTGAAATCGATTTCTTCAAAACCTTTTGGCAAATGAGAGTAGAACACTAAAATGAGTCTCCAGAATGAGAGAGAAGATGAGGACGCTGCCCCTAAAATGAGATCTTCATCTTCAGTGTGGAGCTGTGTGTCTATGAAGAGTGATCAGTCCATAAGGAATCTACCATCTGCATCAAGTGATGCAACAGTGACCTCTGACCCCAGGTAAGACACTGGCGTTTTCAGCATTGACAGAAGCCTTTATTCAAAGTGTTTTACAGTACATTCCAGAAACCCAGTGAGTGAGTGGCGATAGCATCATAGAGAAGCACAAAATCGCTTTCCTGAACTTTCACTGTCACTCTTCCTCATTTTTTGAAGTTGAATGATCTTCCCAGCTTTCCCAAACAGAGTCCCTTGCAAGTGTCTAAAGACTTTTCATTTGGCCTTTGAATACATCTTGCTAAATCTCTCTCTGTCTAGTAATGTATGTATAGTTTAACAAAATAGTTTTCTCTACTTTAACCATTTATTACCTTCATCTCTTTTCTATGATGTCCTCTGTACAATTCTGGAATTTGGTATTGCTGCAATTCTCATATTACGGTCTCCACTGGAAGAATTGCTGTGTTCCTTATTTATTAATTTAGCAGATGCCTTTCATTCAAATCTGCTAACAAATAATTTTAAATCTATGGTGCAATCAAGTTATACAGTATAGCTAGTGCTCTAAAAATTATTTTTTTGTTGTTTGTTGTTGTTTTGTTTTGTCATCAGGAGGAAGAGATCAGAGTCTCCAGAACCCAGTGGTGTTTCTCTGAAAAGTAACAGTTCCATGACGCCACCCCCTAAATTCAGTGATGGACCACTGACCCCTAAACCTTTGTGAGTATAAACAGTTATTTGTTATTTTACTGTAGTGTTTGTGCATCTCACATGAAAAATTATTCAATGAAATAACACTATATACTACCAAATATACAACAACACGGGCACATTAATGTTGAAAAGATTTCGAATTGACATGAAAAATTTGCATTTCAAATATGCAAATCAAAATGACGTCAAAAACTTCATGACATCCACACAATGATGTTCTTTCGACCACCGAAAAAATTACACAAAAGCAATGCAATGAAAGAAAAGTTTTATTTAACAAACTTGAAATCAATAATACAAATGTAAATTCAAAAAGAAATGCACCAATTCTGATTGCTGATCAAAAGATGAGCAATTACTGACGTTAGTCCATATCACGATCTGAACTTGAATAGCTGTGCAGCGCTACTTCCTGAATGTTTCATTCAAAATTGGCCAAATTCCATGATATTCCGCATTATACAGTGACTTTGGTTTTATGCCTGGATTCTGCAGTTTCTTCCTGAAATGACAATAAATAATAATAATAATAATAATAATAATAATAATAATAATAATAATAATAATAATAATAGTAAAATATAGCCGATTGAAAAAAAAATAATAAAAAAAAATATATATATATACAAGTACTAAACTGCTTAGTTCAAGCTCAAGCATTACTGTAATGCTGGTTCATTCAAAGCGTACCGGGACCTCATTGCTTTCACAAATCATGAGGAAATTAAACCATAAACGAACCGAACTGAGTACTTTTAGAGGGGTCTGAGATCCCTTGTTTGTTCACATATAAATGTTTGCAGGGCTCAAATGAACTATGTGTGAAAACACCCTTAAATTATGTTATACAGCATCTTGATCAAGTCTTGACTAACATTTGACATCAAATTGATATCAAGGTGCCCGCTGGGATATGTACTGCACAGGGTTTCAGCTCGAAGATGGGTGCTAAAATCATACACGTATGAAGAGTTCATTTGCAAATACAGATAACTCCATTTTCATTCATTTTCATAAATCATGTTTTTATTGTACATTCCAAAGTAGTATCAATCAAACTGCAGTTGTGATGTTTGGATTAAGTAATAATAACCAGCTTTTGTGACAAAACGTGTTGAGGGTTCAGAATGTGGTATATGTGGAGAATAACGTACGGCAGTCAGTTCATTTTTTTTTTTAAATGTGGAGTTTATCAGTTTTTATCAAATTAACTCTTCATATATTTCTGCAAGTCTCTAACAGTCATTGTATTTTTTTGTACTGTTCTTTTCTTTTTATTTTCAGCAGGGAGACGACAGATGAGTGGACCGGCCCTGTGCCATCCTCTGCATCTCACTATCAGACTCAAATCAAGCAGGACAACACAGAAGCAGTCCTGCAGAAACATACACTGGAGGCTGGAGTCCTGCAGAGAGTCAAAGAGCAGCACAAAACCAGTATGAAGAACAAATATGAAAGATTATTTGAGGGAACCAAACTCCAAAAAAATGAAACCCTCCTGAACAGGATCTACACACAGCTCTACATCAAGCAAGAAGCCTCCACATCATGTGCCACATCCCCGTCTTCTGCTGGATCTCATCCACTGTGCTTCAGAAGCTCCTGGAAGAAGATCTGAGTGCAGAAATCCCTCAAACTCTGACTGAAATGTACATCCACTTCCTGCTGATTCAGATCAACATGAGGAACCAGAAGTATGAAGAGAGAGATCCAGAGAAACTCCTGCAGTCCAACAGAGAAGTGATTGTGAAACTTGCTGAAGTGGCTTTCAAACAGCTGATGAAGGGCAATGTGATGTTCTATGAGGAGGACCTGATTGAGAGCAACATAGACGTCACTGACACCTCAGTGTATTCTGGGATTTGCACTGAGTTCTTTAATGAAAGACCTAAGGGAAAACAGTCTAAGAAATATACTCTGTGTGAGCTGTTGAGAACAGCAGTAGATGAAGCCCTAAATAGTAAGAATGGTCATCTGGATCTGTTCTTGTGGTTCCTGCTGGGCATCTCACTGGAGTCCAATCAGAGACTCTTACAGGATCTACTGACACACACAGAGAACAGCTCAGAGAGCATCAGCAGAACTATTACTTATATTAAATCCATCATTAAAGACATGAGAACTGCTCCATATAATCTCTCCACTGAAAGATCCATCAATCTGTTCCTCTGTCTGCTGGAAGTGAAAGATCAGACTCTGTCCAGAGAGATTCAGGAGTTTGGGAAATCAGAGAAACACTCAAAAACTGATGTCTCTGCTGCTCACTGCTCAACAATCGCCTACATGCTTCAGATGTCAGAGGAGCCGCTGGATGAGCTGGACCTCAAGAAATACAACACATCAGATGAGGGCAGAAGAAGATTGATACCAGCTGTGAGCAACTGCAGAAAATCTGTGTAAGTTAAGGGACAGTGAATTTTTAGCTGTTATCACTGTATCATATTATACAAAAAAATGTATGGTATTTGAATATTTATATGGCTGTAGTGGAAAAAGTAACATATTTTACTCTATATTTTGTTCCCTAGACTTGCTGTCTGTAATCTCACTGCTCAGGATTGTGAAGTTGTGTCATCAGTTCTT